TCTAAAGAAATTAGTTTTCAATCTCAATTTAAAAGTGCATAGCTCCAGTGGCTTCCTGATATTGGAAGGAAGAGCGTTCCAGACGGCCGCAGAAGTGCATCTCTGGTCTTCCCATTTGATTGGCGAACAAGTGACGACATCACACTTACATTCCTATTCAAGACAGGATTTCTCCACAATTCTGACTGTCGCCTGATGAGGCTGGTTGTATTGTTACCAGTGAAACGTCGTACTCGAATTGTAAATGTTGTGGGTTTACTCTCCAACACACCGGTTAGTGCTGAACTAGTAACTAATTGCCACGTTTGTTTACATCACATACCTTACTAATTCACTGTATCCGGTGGTGGCAGGTTTAACGACACATTTATATTTACACGATCTAACAAAAGCACTGCTGCAATGAAAAAAAACACACACACATATATGTGTAAAGTATGTGTATGGACTTAATAGATTTGTAGGGACTTCATACGTTGTGACGTCATCTACTCCAGTTCACTTTGCAGGTGTGTGTTCAAAATGATCACTTTGCAGGTGTGTGTTCAAAATAATTATTTTCTGTGGACATTTTTTTTTTACATTGACCATGCGATCCCTCACAAATTTACATTAAAAGAAATCCACACCAAAATGTACTTGGCCAAAGCTACCGGCAGCAGTTACCAATGAATAAATGCATAAATACATGCAGTGTGAATGAAGGGACATACAGATGCATATGTGCACATTTTTCACGTTGCAAATCAAACCCCGCTACCTCCGATTCGCAAGCTTGGCTACGTTCGGTGCGACAGAATTCAACATGCACACATATAGGTGTTGAATCCAACAAGATCTTGTGGGCTTATGAGAATTAGCTGAGCAAGATGAAGGTTGATTTTTGCTGTTTTTGTCAATGTGTATATATTCTCTAATTTCTTTGGGTCTTTCGGTAAAGTCACGGAGATAGGTTAAAAGAAAATAACAAAAAAACTACGACGTTTCGATCGCAACACAAGCGGTCGTCATCAGGAAATAGGGTGTAGAGCAGAGCGCATGCAATATCTGGAACTGTTTAATGCTATTCGAGACCATTCTCAGGTCCTGTAAAGTCACAATTAAAGTTGCCACCCCGGAGGTACAAAAAAAAACCCTTAAACATATAACGGCAAGAATAATATCTCACAATACCGGAAGAGGGAACTCGTACATGAAAACGAGTTTCCTTTTGTGGATGCATTATTAAACAGTCCTGACAAAAATCTGGGACTCTAAATGTCCTGGGTAGACTTACAAATTGCCCATGACAGCCACCTCAAAAAGACAACCATCCTGGGAAAACCAAGACAGGAGGCAGCCGTAGTCAAGTTCAAGTTCAAGTTTATTTATTAGGTATAGCCCTGTGAGCCATTCGGCTCTTGAATCGGGTGCAACCGCAACAAACAAAAAAACAAAAACATGAACAAAAAACATCTTAAAGTGAATATGTGACTAAGTGCAAACAGAGAATCCAAGAAAAGACAGCAAAATATTGCAGAAAAAAACAGCCGTACACCAACGCTGTGTGCAAAAATCCCAGTGGGATGCAAGTCAAACAACAACACAACACGATGATGATGATAAGCCATGTGCTGGAGTCGAACTTGTGTGTTCGGCTCTCACCATTGTCTCGCGTTCTTGCACGCAACTAGCGCACGCCGCACGCCCTTTAAACGCCGTAAAACTTCCAAACTATTTACAACATATTAAAGCCGCAACAACTGTTACACCCATAGAGTCTATGCAATGTATGGCATGCCAAGGGGTTGCACTGGTGGATGATCGCCTCGCTCTGATTCATTGCATCCCTTGAGACCGTCCTAATTTAGAAGCGACGGTGTTCAGCGCGCCCTTTAAATGTTCATGATCATTGAAAGGGGAAGTTGCATATTTCACATGCTGGTCACCTTTGTTTCAAAACTATAAATGCATCCTTAGTGTATAACTTATTCCAATTAATGCAGGAATGCACGGAGCGCACGCTCATGTGTTTTACGTGGAAAGTTACGGGCAAATGTGCATTTGAAATGAATGCATGTCCCCTCCCCCGACCTCCACGGAAATGGTCAGTGGTTTGCCCCAAGGCGCCAAGCGAGTAGACAGACACACGGTGGTTACTGATTTATTCATGAGAATATATACCATGGAGATGTTTTATTATAATGATGCTTGTTTACCGAGAAAACCCTCGCTGAGTCTCAGGACTCTTTATGCGAGGGGGTTTCCTTGCCACGTTTTCGTAATTGGGACGATGTTTCTAAACGTACTCCTCAATGAGTTATTGAGTAATTTGCAGCGTGATATTTTGGCATTGGGGATGTTTGGCCCAACACCGGTTACATTTCGATTGAAAGCTTTCGTGACTGCAGGGATTCATCTTCTTGGTTCTTTCGGTAAAGTCACGTAGAAGGGAAATAATAAAATAATAAAAATCAAACATTAAAATAATTCTCACGACGTTTCGGCCACAACGCAAGCAGCTATCCTTGCGTTGTGGCCGAAACGTCGTGAGAATTATTTTATTATGTTTTATTTTTATTATATTATTATTTCCCTTCTACGTGACTTTACCGAAAGAACCAAGAAGATCGGTTACATTGTTGGTTTCTGTCAGCTTGATGGGACGTAACTACACGTAACTACACGTTACGTACAATCACACTGCCTCACGCGATTTGAATTGGAGCATTTTGTCTACAAACGTCAACAGTTCTCCTCGGACGCACTCGTGCACACACCCGGGCCAATACATATTTAACTTGCGCAACGTTCTTTAAAAAAATATCCAAATATTATAAATCATAGGCAACGGACTTATTATACCGTCCGGATTACAGTCATCGCAATTAGTTATATGCATAATAAAACGTATGAAATGAATGTTTGCCTTTTTATTATGTATGACAACTTCAATTGTGCTGTTTGTTACTAGGCATTTGGCATTCGTTTGGCCTTTGGGCCTGTGCTGATCAACTGTGATATGAACTTTAAAATTTATGATCGCCATCATATCTCCATTGCACGATTTTACCAATCAACGCAAAAAATGTTTTACAAACAAAGCCTTATCTTTGTATTTTGCCAGCAACATTTGAAGGAATGCATGCGTGTGTTTAAAACCGTGTGTGTTTGATGATACGTTACAAAACAGCACACCGTATCTGGAACCTCAATAAAGTGAACGCAGCACGTGCAATGTCAAGGATGCTGGCAATTTAATGAGAAGAGACCAAGTAAGCAGCATACATTTATCATTTAAATCCTACCGACTGTGATATCTAACCCAGTGGAACAGTGCGTTGCTACACTGGAGTTCTAACAGCCCATTTCCATGAGTGAAACCGACACAGCATAACTTCTTATTTCTTGATGTGCGCTGCGGTGACCGGGAGCCACAGACACATCACGCAGTCTGTGAAGTATCCATTGCCACGAAGCGAACACTTTCGATTTTCGGACGCCAGCATACAAACATCATACATCACTTTAACACGTAAGCGGGCTTTCGCGACCAATATTATTCATAATAAAGGTTTATGGGTTAGATCGCGTAAGTATAAATATGTCGTAACCCTCCACCACCCGACGCAGCCAATTAGTAAGGGATTTGTCACGTAAACAAAACGCCAATTAGTTACTACTTCAGCCCACCGGTGTGTTGGAGAGTAAATCCACAACATTTACAATTTGAGGAGTACGACGTTTCGCTGCTAATTACATCCAGCATCATCGGGCGATTTGTCAGAATAGTGAAGCAATCTACCTGCATCCGATCTTAACTAGGGCAAGAACACCAAATATTGAATACCGTACTCTCAAACACAATTGTCGCCAGTTGCAGAACATGCTTGCCAACAAGGACACTCAATTGATTTTGATAACGTTGAAGTGTTGTGTAAAACGAATTATTACTGGCCAAGACTAATTCGATAATCCATTGAAATTGAGAGAACTCTAAATAATTGTAACCACTCTGACAGCTACAGGCTTAGTCCGGCCTGGAAGCGTATTATTAAGTAATACATCTTACAATTACAATTCCTTAGAGAGGAAACACATACTAATTAAATGATTACTAATCTATTATATAATTACAATACCCCCCCCTACTCCTCCGCCTCTGATCTCTGCACCTGATGAGTTCAGTGATGACGTCGTCCTGTTGTTACGTTCCTTAAGCGATGATGACGTTTCTTATTATTCTTTGTTTAAAATCGCCCGATGATGCTGGATGTAATTACCAGCGAAACGTCGTACTACTCAAACTGTTAATGTTGTGGATTTACTCTCAAACACACCGGTGAGCTGAAGTAGTTGTTGTTTACGTGACAAATCCCTTACTTATTGGCCGTGTCGGGTGGTGGAGGGTTTCATCACATTTATACTTACGCGATCTAACCCAAAAACCTGTATTATTAATCACACATCACTGCCATATTACAGTGTGCCTTGTAATCGGCTGTGACGTGCTGTGCCGCTAATGGCAAGCCCAGCAACACTCCGGTGTACGTCGGGGATGCGTTCCCGAAAGGCTTGTGAAGAATGCGTTGAGTTGTTGTTTGTTGTTGTTACGTTCCTTAAGCGATGATGACGTTTCTTATTATTATTTGTCCTCTGATCCGAATCAACTTCAACATGTATATATATATACATGTGTGTTTGTTGAACTTCTTTCGCGCTGTGCGTAGCCAACCGTGCACATCGGATCGCCAGGAGCTTAAGCAAGCTCAAGCCTGGCTAGTTGTTAAATGGGGTGACCACCAACTTTCCCAGATGTCACAGGCATTCGAGTATTTTCCAGATTCCTCCAACATGGCAAGTGCTCATGAACGTTATATCCCAATGCCGAACCAGGAGACACAAGTGAGGCATTCCTGGATAAATAATTAGAAGTATTTTGTTGTCATTCTTAGTGTCAAGTCTATGCAAGAAGAGTTGTGTTTTTTTTGTATGACCTGAAGACACAGAACACAACTGTCTATAAAACAAGAAGCCTTTATTTTTTTCTACGAAATTATGTACATAGAATAAAGGAGTAATATGCTCTCTTTATATTTACAAATGAGGTCGTCAAGATCTGTATTACAAACAGTTTACAGCAATATCAGTTTCAAAGACGAACGTGCATCATTTAGTCCAAATGATGCACAACACAGCACCTTTTAGACCCTGTCAATACAACTCACAGGTAACCAAATTTCATTTGGTAACGCCTTTCATTGCTGGAAGCAGCCGTGTTACTTGAAATCAAAACTCTTAGCCCTACGATGAGTTTTCGGATTGTTACCGCGTGTTTGTACGGCATTGCGTCTGATGACGACTCGCTCCATGTGCTAGGCAAAAGCTTTGAAGAATTTCAATTCCTGAATGAGCTCCCAGCACGTGGAGTGAAACGTCAGACGTCATGCAAAACAAGATGCAGTGCAACCCAAAAACCACACAATCGTGGAAACCTGCAGCAATATGCAAACGATCGTGATAAAATAATTGATTTCTGATGTTTTCTTTGAAAATACAAGTTTATACTGTAAAAAAATTGCTAATATACTCGTGTATTTTTTTCATAATTTAATTTAAACAGTCTTAATCACATCATATATGCTGGATTTACTGATTAATATAATTTACGTACAAGCATTGTTTCTCTGTATTTCTAAAATCTTTCTATACGCGTTGTCGTTGCAAGTAATATCTAAAAGTATGTGCAAAGCTACATTTTTCGACATTATCATGTGATCTATCAAGATTAGAAAAAAGGTCCAGAACATGGACTTTATCAACCAAAATAGATTCTCACATGTGTCATGTCAAGTGCATTCAAAATACATAGTAGATGGAAGAAAATGAACCGCGCTGCATTCAGTTGAAGACAATTGAAAATAATATACCTCATGATATTGTTCAGAACACACAGGCATAGTTTATTAGCTCCAGCAATCTTTTTCCTCCAAAAAAATATTCAGTGGCAAAAAAAAAATACATTCAAACTGCCCTGGGAAGACTGCTTTGATCTCAACAATGCTTCGTTCTCTCGTCCGCAACTTTGAGAGACCAACGCGATGCCTTGCGTTCGCAAACCGTCGCAGGCTTCCAAGAGTTCAGTGACGTGCACTGCGCTACCCCGACCTTCCAAAAACTTTCAAGGCATTGTGGTGTTTGTGCTTGGTGCCCAGTCGGGATACGTATTCAGGTCAAACAAGGGGATGCCCCAGGTGAAGATCCCCAACATGACCACCAAGACTCCGATGATGTTAATCCCCAAGCCGACCTTCATCTGGGGGTGGGAAGGAGAGAGCGGGGGGGGGGGGGGTGTAAATTGATTAAAATGAGATTGGATCGAAGTTTTGTTTCAACAACGTTTTCACCTTTGGCTGGAACAATGTAGACGTTGATTATTGGTTCTTTACCCTTCTATTCTGGCAATAAAACTGACACCTTTTTACAAGGAGTCATGTTTGCATAGACCACAATACCTGCAGTCATAATGCAAACAAAAAAACACAACTATGATAATGTATGCACTGTCCTTGAAGTTGATTGGTCCACACCCGAGACAGCTTTCCTTAGAGCCTCGTCTCACATAGGGTCGGACCAGATGACGCCAAAAGCATTATGACTGCAGGTCTATGCAAACATGACTCCTTGTAAAAAGGTGTCAGTTTTGTTGCCAGATAGAAGGGTAAAAACCAGTTATCATATTTTTACTGGCAAATGAGGTTCCAATAGTGTAGACGTTAACAAGGTATGGTCATCGTCTTCTGTTCACGCAAGTCACGCACCCAAAATGGCCGACGCTGAGAAAGGTATGTATTTGAAATGTCAACTCGCGTGTGTTAGTTAATGTACTTTTGCCGTATTCTCAGGAATAAGAGTGTGACCCTCTGACGATCCGCGTGTGTGACTGCCGACGGTGTTTGTGTGACACGAGTTCCACGTGTCAGCAAGGACATTTAGGCTGCCATCGGTCACTCTCTCGAACAAGTTAATTCCTCTGTCAAATAAGTAACCCAATGATGTCAATCAATGAGGAACCGAATGGGAAATGATTGATGATTATGTATTTAGGGATGTTGAGTGTATTTGTTTAAATGTATAAGTGTTTGAAGTCCTGGAGTTGACATTGTTTGCCTGGTGCCTTAAATGTTGGGCCGCATGGATTCATAGAAATGGTGATGATATTAGTTATAACCTAAATATTATTGTGGTTCAATAAAATGAATGTTGTAACACTCAACTGATTAGTATTAGTCCTTATCATTAGAATACTTAGAGCAAAGTGTCCAGTCATGCGCTGATTGGTGTCATTATTTATTTTTAGCACAAATAAAATAGGTAAATGTTGTGGGTTTACTCTCCAACACACCGGTGTGCTGGACTAGTAACGAATTGGCATGTTCTGGTTACGTGACAAATCTTACTAATTGGCTGTGTCGGGTGGTGGCGGGTTTAACGACACATTTATATTTATGCAATCTAACCCAAAAACTCTATTATGGATAATATTGGTCGCAAAAGCCTACATGTTGAACCAAAATAGGTATATTGTAGTGTAAAGAATGTATGCCAGAATTGTGGGCTACAGATTAAATTTGCAAATCAATATTTTGCCACTGTGAGGCCTGTAGAATCTACAGTGGTCACACATATAACACATGTGGATGGGAAATCATGTATTCTTACAATCCATGATTTTATGCATTTACCATCCTTAGGCTAGACATTCCTGCTAATTCGTGACCAAATATCTTTATTAAAGCACTGTAGCACTGTTTTGTGCAAGGTGTTATTACATGCGAACCAAAGTCCGACCTTTATGGTCCAAGTGGAAAATAGAGTTTTGCGACTGAGCAATTACATCTAAAATTAAGTGGATCGGAGACAACGTGTTCGCGTACTATCTAACCAAAACTTTGCCATCCTGTTTAGCACAATAAGTTAACAAATCGATTAGCACGGCTGGCTACGTACGGTGTGAGAGACATTCAACATAAATGAAGACTAATTTAAAATAAAAATTCACATACAGGACTGACCAACTTGACAAAACGTTGACACGTCTCTTACCATGTCGGTGACTTTGAGGTGACCGTATGTAAATACGATGGCATTCGGCGGGTTGGAGACGGGGAGGAGAAAGGCGAAAGAGGTGGAGATGGTGGCAGGGATCAAGATGAACAGTGGGTTCACTTGAATGGCCTCTGCCTGCAGGGAGGGACGTGCATCATTAGACGGTGCTGAAACAGGAGCTGCAACCGCTTATCGTGCAACAGGCCACGTGGTCACACAGGGGTGCAAATGAAGGTGCATCTCTGCAATTTCTTGCTCAAGCCACCGCCGGCAGAAGGGCTTCCACTCGACCAGTGGTTCTGAACCTGGGGTGCATGCACCCTCTGGGGGTGCGAGATGCCCTTTCTGTGAACCACTGCACTAGAGGGAGTGCTGGAGGGTATTTTGGCCTGCTCTTCCACGTCGGCCAGCTATATCGGAACAGGCAGAAGCGCCCACGCTTTACCCCACCACATGAGACCTGCCAAAACCCATTCAATGTAACACGACACACAGAGTAGCTAAATCAAACACACGTGATATGGAAGAGTAAGTGGTTTTACATGAAAGTATTTTGGTTATAAACCCCCGTGTAAAAGCCAAGACTTTCATGTATTTTTAATGATTCTTTGTACTTTTTCCCCAATTTTATTCTGATCGTGCTACCCGCATCATCGCATAGGATAAAGCATCCATTCTGATTGCTTGCAGAGCAGTGCAAGCCTTTATTTTAGAGTACAGCCCACGAAAGTGGATCCCACAGAGCTACCTCTGAGATCCTTTGAAATAACCTCTGTTCCACACAGTAGGGGGTAGAACATTTCCCCGCGCTCTGCCACTGAGAATAATGTCCGTTGCATGACGATCAAACCAATGTAACTTTCAGGGCAGGAATTTAGCGACATTAAGCGAGGAACCAATTTAAAATGATATTTTTTGTGTCCAGTCATTGTCCACTTGGCTGAGACCATTCTAACCCACGATCTCAGTGGTGAAAGCTCAACGCTCCCACTTCCAAGTCACCCGCATTTTGGCTTCATAATACTTCAACATACAACCTTTGGCCTGCTCTACTCTATGCACTGGCTGCACATGAATTGTCGTTATACGCTGGCATAGAGTTGAACTTGTGTTTAACGCACCAAACTGGAGAGGATGGGCAGAAACAGGGTGATGGTGGCAGGGTTGCTGGCCACCTCAGTGACAGTGGTGACCAAGAGACAGGTCAGGAGGATGATCAGCCACACGGGCATGGTGTTTAAAGACACGAGCTTGCTGCCAATCCACTCTGACAGCCCTGACACCTGTACGGAGAAAAAAATAAACAACAGAGGCAGCACACTTCATTAGTCTCCTCCACCAAGTTTCCGATTCACTTTTACATTCTAATAAATGCCATTCGTTCGAATGAAAGCCATCTCGAGAGAAAAAAATCTATCGGATGGGTATGAAAAAAAAATGTATTTTCAGCCTTTGGCAATCCAACCGATGGATGAAGACCTCCTTCCACCGTGCCAGTTGTGGGAGTCGTTTAGCAAACACAGTACTTCACCACGCTCACTCATGGGCATTTTGGGAAGGAGGATGGATGGCCAAGGATCGGTTCAGATATTACCCTGGCACTGATTTCAGCTGTGGCTGACAATTTAACTTCGGTTGCTGGGTTCATTATGAAAAATTGTATACATCCTCCAAACAAGCGCTCTCCACTCGTGAACAAGATGAGCAAGTACATTATATTCTGTTAAATTAAAGCGTTTAGAAGACAGCGTTTCAAGTATAATTAAACTACACAATTGATTGCTTTCAATTACGGACACTAATAATTGGAAGCCTATTGTAAAAACAACACATACATCACAGCACATGGCACTACTAAGAGAACCAATTGCGGCACGTCACTCAACTTATTCTCCGTAAATAACTCTGTTCTTCAATCCCAAATCATAGCAGCTGGAGTGTTCCGAGAGTAAAAACTCAATTGGTCACACTCTCATCCAGACACTGGGCTGCTTCAAACATGGAACGATCTCCCAGACACACAAACGTATTCCGCCAGTCTCAACTTATTTAAATCTTAAATCAGAACAATTTCCACAACATTTGCAACTGTTACGGCTAGGGTACACTCTATATGAACTGGTGGTGTGCATCATTACATTATCTGTGCCATCGTTGTTGTGCTTGACTGCAGTGCAAAGATGTATTGGTTACAGATTTTTTAAGAATACGAATTAACATTTATTTGTAAGGTGCCTTCCACTAATGTCTCAAAGCGCCTTGTAAGAATACGGATAAGCCAAGAGAGAAGGAGAAGCTAAATAGAATAAAATTACTTAAGAAAATAAATTTTAAGACGACACTTACAAATATCCACATTATCGGATAAATGTTTGTATCCAATCATTACGTATTTGCTGCCGATGTTTCAAGTGGACTAATCCTGGACAGCACTTGCACGTGAGATATTTCATCTCAAGCTAGCGAAATATTTGAATGCATCATAGCATTCGATGGGCGTCGCTCACTTCACTGCCCCTTGCCAGGGCGAATCCTCCTCCGACGAGGAAGGCCACTTCCCAGGGCATGCAGCGCTGAAAGTCCTTCCATGAGATCATGGGCGTGAAGGAGGAATCGGAGCGGCCCTCTCCACCCGTCTCGACTGAAACGCGTCGGCAGAGAAAGACACACACACCCGTCAAGTCACGAATCACAATTATAGCAAGAGCACATTTGGTAGTCACTCCGTTCGTATAGGCGCGAGGCTATCAGGAAAGCACCATGTTTCACAGGCGATGATCGTCTTTTGGTTGGGGGGCGATGTTGCTTCGGAAGCTTTTCCCAATTATATAATTTGCCGGTAATCTTTCATGTTTCGCAAAAGTTTGGACTGTGAAGCCAGCATATGCGGCCGGTCCCTTTTTTTTTTATTGTTCAATGGAAACCAGACGGTGCGTGCTTATGGTTAACACACCGACAGTAATAACCATGGTGGGCTCGAACAGTAAAACTTTTCCACCAAGCGACAAACACACAATCGTTCATGAAAGTCATTGTAAATATTTTCGTGAAACTTTTATAATCCTGCTTGCAAAACTAGAAGCCATTACAATTTCAAAATAGTTTGTTTGAATTAAGCTTTTGTGGTGCGAATGGAGTTATTGCGATGACAACTTTCTTTATTGCTTATACAATAAAATATGGTTATGAAGATTTATTCTAAAGCAGCAATCATGTCCATCAGGCCACATTAGCATGCTAAACTCAGCTGTGAATGACTTTCAAAGTATTATATAACATGAGCAAAGAGGCTCAGAATATATCAATGTAAGCACATTGCTCTATTTCAGTGCCATACACGTTTCCCTTGCGTGATTTGCGCACATGCGGCTCACCTATTTCTACCTAAAATGCGCTATATGCCATTTGAATTCACTCATGTGCGACTATGTGTGTGTACCGTGTGTGTACTGTCTGTGTGTACAGTAGAACCCCTCTTAACAAACACCCCTGTTAACGACAAATCGCTTAACGACGGGCCTCCATCGAGCCCAATGTGTAGTGTATAGTGTAGTGTATAGTAGTGTATAGTGTAGTGTATAGTAGTGTATAGTGTAGTGTATAGTAGTGTAGTGTATAGTAGTGTAGTGTATAGTGTAGTACTGTGTGTACTATGTGTGTATACTGTGTGTGTGTACTTTATGTGTGTACTGTGTGTGTACTGTGTGTGCTGCGTGTGTACTGTGTGTGTACTGTGTGTGTGTGATTTGTGTACTGTGTGTGTACTGTGTGCGCTAGTGGGCAGGCTGCTGTCTCCTGCGGTTTCGCTTTGTGCGCCCTTTTTTGGGAACTCACAGAGCGAGGGAAACCATCACATTTGGTTGTTTTCCCTTTGGTCACCTGGTGACCAGGTGACCCCTGCGAGGCGGACGGTCCCGTTAAAACACGCAGGGCTTTAAGCCACCTGGCATCACGCTACTCAGCTGATTTATGGCTGGGTGTGACTGCCGGCGGAACATCGCACCTATGTTTTACATGCCGTCAGATCGCTCTCCAACACACACCGGGTGCTGTGGCTGCAGCAGTGACAACTTTTTTTGGTTGGCCGTGTCGGGTAGAGGAGGGTTTTGCGACACGCAGCATTTATTTTTACGTGATCTGACCCCCCCCCCCCCCCCCCGTCTATTACGAGATGGTGCTGGTTTCTTGAGTTCTCACCCCCCCCCCCCCCCCCCCCCCCGGTTAAACAAAAGTAAGCTACTGAAACAGCAACAGCGTGAGGGAGCAATTGCAAAGCGAGGCTTGCCATTTCCTGCGTATCCGCAGAGGGTGACGAATCGTGGCGGCATCTGAGGGATGATGAAAAGCAGGAAGCCAAGGAGGAGGGCCGGAGTGGCATCTCCCTGATATCCTTTCCTGAAAATACAGAAACCATCGCATTCATAGATCATACAAACTCGTAGAAACTCCACGTGATAGCAAAGACTCTGGTGTGTTTAAGTTGGATATAATATCGGGTTTTTTTCCTTAAAATTTTCCCAACTTTAATCCCGATTGTGACATCAGCGTCACGTCATGCGATGAAGCCTTCGTTCCGATCCCACGCAGTGTTGACGAGCGAGATCCCTGCGATTGATGTCTGTTCCACTTAGCGTGAGGCAGCAGTTTCCCCACCTGCTCCGCATATGACAGTAATGTTCATCACTCGTTTTATGGCCGATAATTTTATATTTTTTAATAAAGATTACCGACGTGTCAGCCAATACAAACCCGAAACTCATTATTATTTTATTTGCAGTGTGTAAATAGAGTAGGAATATTCGTTGTCATCATTTTATAAGTAGAACTAGGAAAATTACCCGTCGGGATGCTTTTTATCAACTGCAAAGGATCACAATCAACATATTTATACTGGAGGAACACGATGAACTACATTGTCCAGTTCAGCACAAAACCCCACAAAAAACATTGTACCTTGCTTAACAAAGCAAAGGTCACAATGTTTTGCTCGCAGATTTTACCACCTCCACAGTTATGCTGTCGTAACCTCAAGTGACTCAGCTGTCCCCTGAGTTATTTTTACGTTGTTCTACTATGGCGCACCGTGGTTCAACCCGTGGTTGACCTGACTTCGAATCCCGATCACCACGACGAACTTCGGTGAGCGAGTGGCATGTGAATCGGTGCCAGGCACTCCCTTCGCCAACCCCCACTGACCAGAGTGGTCAAGCAACAACCACTCCCGACATGGCACCCAAGGAGGTCTTCATCCAGCAATTAATTCATTGATGGAATATGCATTAACTAGTTAAACGAAGACAATGAAATCCCACCCACTGTGATTATTTGACACGCAGCTGGAGATTCTCGCTGTGGCCCAAATTGACACTGGGCTCAATGCGCAATGAATGTTCTAAATTAGAGACGTACGGTCCGATGACGGAGGCCCAGCCGGGCATGAAGCCCGGTTCACGCGTGAACCACAGGATGGCCATCAACAGGAAGATGATCGCAGCCACCGCCTCTTGATAGCTGCATTCAATCAAGACACCAGCAGCTGACAGTCAGCCTCAAAAATAGACAAACTCGTCCATTAACATCGCTCATCGCACTCCTCGGAGCTCAAACATGTGTTGCTTCACCACGCGGCAAGTTACTTATTTACATATTTTTCTCCCCGGGGACACTGTGACATTTTCCTAAGGGTGTTGTATTTTTTTTTTTACAATTGAGATTTCTGACCACAGGCACAAAGGCCAATACGGGAGTAAAGATAACAAGAGTTCAACCCTTGCAATTGCTTGCTCACGCCACCGCTGGGTGAAGGACCTCCACGACAGGAAGCTCCAGAGAGCTCGTCTAGAAGGCGTCTGGCCTACTCTTCCACACTGGCCAAACGTCTTGGATGATGGGGGCGGGGGGGGGTTACCCATACTCTACTCAACCACACGTGACCTACCGATCGACTGCTGGGTGGACAGAGGCAGGACATTTTTTAAATCCTTTATATTAAGTTCACTTGCTTGCTTGCTTGCGCTTACGACCGTGCAAATCTTTCGGTTGTTTTTTAACCCACTTCCCGTGATCCAGTCGAGCTGACATTTTGCACACAGACTCGTTGTGCGTGACAATTTCTTTTCGTGAAAATTTTTTTCAAAAATTTTACACTTTTTAGGAAAAAATTTATTATATGTAATTACCAATTGCTTAATGGTGGCAGGCAATCATCTGACCCATAGGTGGCAGCCATCTCAAGCCAGAGGACGAGAGGACTCTAGCCGCTACACATATAAAGGATTTATAGTGAAAAACTTTGTTTTTACGGGTTAATTTTGTTTAACTTGCCCCATTGTTTCAAATCAAATTGGCGACCTCTGCATTGTAAGTCCAATGTGCGAACCACTATACCACGGCAACTTGCATTGTTCGTATAGCATACGGGAGCTAACACACCCGTCTTTGATTTGGCACGAGTGCAAAAATCGTGCGGCGAGAGGAACGGAGGAGGAAGAGGAATGTATTCGTCCCGCAGTACATTTTGCCGCACACAGCATGGGTGAGATGAGACCGTCAAATCGACGCCACACGGTCCCTCACGAGGATCGAGGCATCAAAGTGTGAAGTTCACAAGAGCGACGGCTGTGCTCGTAGCGATAAGAGTAATAAGATGGGTGTGAATCAAAATGAAGTAAAGCTTTGGACCGATTGCCTTTGGCCGCCCGGCATATACAATACGCTGCACGCGCAAGTGTGCGCTAGCAGATAAAGTGTACGGGTTTAACGATGGATTATGAGGGATTTATAGTTCAATAGGTTGGAAGTTGTGTCTCTCCGTGAACGATGCCCACTTTGATAAGTTAAGGATATCAAGTCAGGTAACAACTCTTTCATATGCTGATTTTAATGCGTGTAGCCAGCTCATGACGATCCGGTGTCCACTGCACATTTCGTCATTTGCTTCCTCTTCCCTCTGTCTTGTGTCAATATGCTCAAGTCCAGGAAGTGAACATTCAGGGAAGTCATTCATTTTTTCGACAAGCCACACAATTACGTGAACGCATCTTCACATCCACATGACTAAATGTTCCAGCTCTTTAATGACAACAATTCTTTCTAGATTTGAAGCTTTCGTGACTGCAAGGATTCATATTCTTAGGTTTTATTCGGTAAAGTCACGTACACCTCACAAAAATAATATTCAGGGCCTACCTTGGCTCATCCCACCCTCAACCAATATATATATACACAAGGACTGTTTTCTTGGAATTTCTCTCACGGTTCCACCTGAAGACGGAAGCATGTGTTGCCTCCGAAACGTCGTGATTTTTATTTTATTTTTATTTTACTTTTATTAATTTTAATTTTTTACCTACGTGACTTTACCGAAAAAACCTAAGAATATGACAACAATTCTGTATAATGTGTGCCGCAGCCTCACCTGAAGGGACCGAGCTGCTGATATTCCTTCTTGATGACAGCTTCTGCGGCCAATTCCTTTTCGGTTTTTGCGCATTTGAACATGTGCGTAAAGCTTTGAAAACGACATGGGGAAAAAAAAGGAGATTATCAGACGATTCCCCCCTCCCCACACCCCCTCCTCAGGTGACCGCGGAAATAATCACCGGCACATTGACTGCGGATAGTTTGCAGCAGGACTTTGCGCCGCGTCTCAACTTACTTGAAGCCGAGGAAGATGATGTGCATCCAGACCCAGCTGAGAATGAGGATGATGAACGAAATTGGCAATGAGAAGCTAATCCAGGTGGTAAAGTTAATGCAGTCGCATCCCGGGTAGCGCCTGCAAGTGAAAAGTAAAAAACAAAGAGGTGTGCATTAATGTTTGGGGGCTTCTCTTATTTAAAGCACAGTCAAGTCAGAAATAATACACTTTCAGAATATAGATAATAAATTACGTTTTTGAAAATCATTGTTTTTTTTATATAGATTTGTTTTGCTATTCACCGTTTAACAAATTTCTATTAAACTAATGAGTTTGACAGGCGAAGAACATCCACGTAATTACGTCTTCTAAACTTTTTTTTTTACGTCGGGTAAGGGCCCATTGTGCTAAGAAGAAACTGTTTATCAATGGCGACCCAGCCACAGCAGCAGCAAGCACGTTACGCGGGAAGGGAGGGTCTCCAGGGGCTGCTTAGAACAAAATCACGGTCATTTTATACATCTAGAACTATGTGCATACGCTTGTGAGGCATTCAATAAATTGCAGCGATATGGGGTCGCGATTTAAAAGCTGATTCGTTGTCACGTGTTATTGCCTCATTTGTATCTCTTTCACGTGATCTCACTTGCTGCATCTCGTTGGTTCCATGAGGCAAACGTACCATTTGATATAATTAGCAAAATTTGTAACTAATCGATGATGACACACAATAACCGATGCATGTATTGTGAGGATAAGAATCTATTTTAATTGAATTGATTAATTGTTACATGCCTAATATAGCATTCATATAATGACTGTCTTCATAATGATAACTAATAAACATGTATTTTTTTTTCGTGATTCCAGTGTCTTGATGTGGAAATAATCAAAAGTAAATGACTTGAAAGTGCATGGTCTCCTGCCAAATACTGGGCATTTACAGGTAAATCATAATCTTGGATATTTCAACAAATTAATTGGGCAGGTTTGGCTCAAGAAAGATGTGTGGGGTCAGTATTCTCACCCTAAAAGTGAATGTAGATGCACCGTAGAACTCCTCTTATGCGCCGTGATGTGAGGGACTAACATTGTTTATCCTATTCTATGCGATGTGATGTGTAAATTGACTCCACTCATGGACAGAACAAATCATGGCTAATAGGACAGCATTGCCAATGATCTCCACTTATCTAACAAAAAATCTTTGATGCCGTACAAAAAAACAAATTTGCGTAAACAACCCACGCATGATCGGATAAATTATTCACGCGACTCCTCTTTATCCACGACAAACTTGTCGACAAACGAAACCCATTCCGAATTCAGGACGGCACAAAACCGCGGACAAACGCGCAAGGACAACGAGGAAAACTAGGGCTGGCGCGCAGACAAGAGGAGTTCTGTGTTGGTGTCCGCGCGGAGCCGAGTCCCGCCCGTACGTGTTAAACTGCTCGGCGAAGATGAGGTTGGTGGAGGTGCCCGTGATGGTGGTGATCCCGCCGATGGTGGAGGCGTACGCCACGCACAGCGACAGCGACTTGCACAGCATCTGCTGGCTCTCCGAGTGGTATCGGCTCGGCACCGCAGGGGCCTCCACGTCTCCTTCCACCTTCTGCGGGCGACGACGTCGTGAGAATAATCGTGATTTACAACTCGAGATAATCGTTGAGCTGCTCGTCGCGGAGAATCTTCTCGAGATGTCGCGTATGCGTGTGTGTTTTTGACTTAAAAAAACTTGCGCGACTGCAGGAATTCGTATTCTATGGCTCTTTAGGTAAAGTCATGTAGATATGAATTTTTTTTTACAGTAAAATAATAAAAATGAAAATAAAGTTAATAAAAAATTATTAACATATCACGACGTTTCGATCGCAACACAAGCGGTCGTCATCAGGAACCTTTGTGTCGAGATCGAAACGTGATGTTTGTATTCTTTTTTATTCACTTTATTTTTATTATTATTATTATTTTTCATATCTACGTGACTTTACCGAAAGAACTCTAGAATATGTATGCGTTCGCGTTTATGCGCTGTGTAGTTTTGTCTCGAACTAGGACGCGTTTCTGAGACAAAATCCTTGCCTGTAAACATTGGTTCAAGCAAGCCTGGGTCTGCTGGTGAGATAATTCATGTGGAAACTGCTGTCGAGTTTGCTCGTGTTGCACCAATGTTGCTCATGCGATGCACTTCTCAGGATGCCATGCAGCTGATGAGTTGCAGTAAAACATACTTTTTAAATTTGGTATGAGTGTTAATCTTATAGTGCAAGGCAATCATGATAGCGTTATGTTTCGCAGATGGATTTCGTCTGCCAGTCGGGGGGGAGGGGGGCAATGTTGCTATGAAGTTTTACCAACTATCTTCTTGGTTTTTTCGGTAAAGTCACGTAGAAGGGAAAAAATAAAATAATAAAAATAAATCACAATAAAATAATTCTCACGACGTTTCGGCCACAACGCAAGCAGCCGTCCTCAGGTGAAGAACAGGTCTGTCGGAAAGACAGCGTCTGAAACGTCGTGAGAATTATTTTATTTATTTTTTTATTATTTTATCATTTCCCTTCTACATTACTTTACCGAAAGAACCAAGAAGATGAATCCCTGCAGTCACGAAAGCTTTAAATCGAAATTTACCCAACTAGTTAAAAATTACTAATTTGGCAAAACGCATAGAATTTGCCTCTCCCTTACAGAGGTCACGCGATCACCCTAAAGACGCGTGGGCAGCGTGATGACACTTGTGCCTCACGCAAGAAGGACACAGGTTCAATTCCTGCCTGGTGTGCCTTTATAAGTGGAGTTTCTATGTTTTCCTCCAGTTCTGCACGCGTTCCCTCCACGTGCTCCGGTCTCCTCCCAAAGCTAACACGCAACACTGCAGTTGATGTTGGACAAACATCCCCAATGCAAGGCCCTCCTTTAAAACATTCCTCTGAACTAAGTGTGGCTTTCCTGAGTAAGTAATTGTTGTTGTTGTTGTGATATTACGATGAAGACATCAGACCCGCGGGGCTTCAAACGAGACGCTACTGACAGGTGTGTACATAACGCCGCGGTGCGTTAACAGCGACGCGTCTGCTTCGCGTTGGCAGCGCATCAGTGCAATGATTGGGTCTAGCATGCGCTGTCAGCTTCTCAGAGTCATGTGCCGCAATTGCACGGCTCACGCAAACACTGTCGTCATCACACCTCTTTAGCCATTATGTGCACAACATTACAGGCCAGATCTACAATTACGGGGGGGGCCCATTTGTAACTGAAATGCAGAGAGTTAAAAAAAAAGTCCACCTACACAGCGTCGGTTAACAAGGCTTCCTTCGAGAAATAAAACCACGGACGTTCTTGCATTGTGAAAAAAAAAATACGAAATACATTTTCGTAGAAAATTACGACACACTCGTTTACTAAGTTAAGTTAGGTATACTTACAATTGATCCTACAGTGCTGCACACCTCTCCGTTGACAACCTGAAAGAAATGACATTCATCGTCATCATCAGTCGTGCTATATCTACTGCTGCGCAAAGATATGACCAAGTCACACACGGCACAAATCTCACAATGCTGCGAAGCGATCAAGCCACCTGGTGCCCATTCTAGATTTGAAGCTTTCGTGACTGCAAGGATTCATATTCTTAGGTTTTTTCGGTAAAGTCATGTAGGTAAAAATTTTAAATTAATTAAAGTAAAATAAAAAATAAAATAAAAATCACGACGTTTCGGAGGCAACACAAGCTTCCGTCTTCAGCTATCGTGTTGTGACGGTTCCACCTGAAGACGGAAGCTTGTGTTGCCTCCGAAACGTCGTGATTTTTATTTTATTTTACTTTAATTAATTTAATTTTTTTACCTACGTGACTTCACCTGGTGCCCGTCGCACGGCCTCGCGACACCTGACAGTTGCCATCATCCCGTCTCATGTCGGGGGCCCACTTTTATTCGAAGTTCGAATGACGTCGTTCGCCTGGGCAGGATCTCTGATCCACGTGTTCACTTGTTTCCATCTCTCGAAATGTCAGTTGGAGCGTGTACGACTCGCAATGAATCGTTACATAGTTTCTTCTTGGTTCTTTCGGTAAAGTCACGTAGCAGCCGTCCTCAGGTGAAGAACAGGGCTGTCTGAAAGACAGCGTCCGAATGAACACCACCAAGCTTGGCAGCGTATATTTAAGCAGGGGTTTAGAGGAGGAGAGCGCCTTCCCTTCTAAGTGACTTTACCGAAAGAACGAAGAAGATGAATCCCTGCAGTCACGAAAGCTTTAAATCGAAACGTTACACAGTTGTTAAATTGTTTTGTTCACCTTTTGCATCTGAACCGCATATGCCATAGCGGGTAGTATATGCCGATTAACAAAAAGTGCCATGCCTAAGGGGCCGTCCATAAATGACGTCACGCGATTTTGGGCGATTTTGGACGATTTTTTACCCCCCCCCCCCCTCGTCACGGCGTCACAAAAAGTCAGACCCCCCATCAAATATGACGTCACAAAGCTCTGTCCCCCCCCCCCCCCCAAATAAAACATGCTTCAAATCGCTTTAAACTATTGTCATTGTAGTGCGTATTTAATGTGGCGCTGCACTCTGATGTTGTAGGAGAAAACATTTATTAAAAAGTATATTTAATTAAGTAGATCGTGTTGTCTATATTTATTTAAATTTGCGCATTTTTACGTGACGTCACACAACGTCACAAATGATAATTGGTTCTTTACCCTTCTATCTGGCAACAAAACTGACACCTTTTTACAAGGAGTCATGTTTGCTTCAAGGACATTGCACATTATCAGAGTTATGTTCTTTTGTTTGTATTATGACTGCAGGTATTGCGGTCTATGCAAACATGACTCCTTGTAAAAAGGTGTCAGTTTTGTTGCCAGATAGAAGGGTAAAGAACCAATTATCATATTTTTACTGGCAAATGAGGTTCCCATAGTGTAAACGTCACAAATGTCTGACCCCCCCCCCCCACCCCCAGGTGCGTGACGTCATTTATGGACGGCCCCCAACTAATTCTCTAAACAATTGCAAGTAGCACGTTCGAGGGGCACAGTTGGGTAAACGGAGCGGGAAAATGTGTACCTCGGAGAGCTGTGGAAAGTGTCCCAGAATGCAGTTTACGAAATCAAAATAGTTGAACACGAAATAGGTTGGGCTCATTTTAGAGAGCTGAACTTGGTAATACAAAGTAACGTATCAATGTGCCTCAAAAATAAGTGGGGTTTTTAATACCAATATTGGGGTCACCTATATTTTGTATTATGAGTTTAATCACGTTGGTTATCATCACGTGACATGTCACATTACTAGCGTCTAAAAAATATCTTGCAGTCAAGTAAAACATTTTGATACTATAACGACAGTATTTTCACAGTTACACACTACGTTCACAATAACCACAGCCACTGCTATTACCCACAATCAGAGTGATGCCATGATAGCGTGACAATAATGACGAAAATAAACAAAACTGCTGAATCTATATGCGTATCTGCAGTTATATGCAATCATAAAGAGGCTGCTTACATAACTCATTAACATTGTGTTGTGACACTGGCATGTGGATTATCATCTGCGTTCTGCACATAAAGTGCAATTGTTTGTTTTTGCTCACTTCTATGCCTCAGATTGACTTTCGTTAACCCGCTGCACTTCGGTTGACCATTTTTGGCGACACGTTTTTATTCACTTTTAGGTAATTTTTGACGGAACCACGATACGCACCTTCTTGATGTCCGTGTCGCTGTCAAGGGTACAATACTCGACGTCAACTCTGCAAGACAACATGATAACGAAATAACGCTCTGTCAAGATCGCTGACACCGCGGTTGAGATGCGATTTTTTTTCTTATTCCTGCAGTCGAGATACAGAGAGCGTCTTTGGACACTGCGCAAATTAATTGGGTGGAAATGCGGCCACTTCGGAAGCAGCAACACAGAATATAATCATAGCAACAACTGGAAAAGACGTGCATGACAATAGGTAGTGGGCCAAAGGCCACGGGCGCTGCTATAAAATGTGTTATTTTATCAATCGACGAAGATGCACGACATCACACACACATGACCTTGACACTGCATCTGTCTACATTGGGTGGAGTATGGAATACAGTTCACAAAAGCCAGCGCAGGGTGTTCTTAACAAGGCTAAAATGGCACCGAGTGTTAAACCCACGCACAACAACAACTCACAATGAAAATCAAGACCAACAATAACGTAGTATAATGTTCCCAATTATAAATACTTGAATTCGCAGTCGCATTACGGTCTCAAAGGGGTGCAGAGGCCACGATTGACCTGTGATGCAAGTATTCAGTGAGGCGTTTTTTAGTTTTTTTACATGGGGGCATGTAAAGTTGAGTAACGATCATCCAATACGACCAAAACTTCGTGTTTCTGCTCATAAAAAAACTTGTAGATGAAAACAAAACAGTCCTAAAGAGTATTCCCCTTGGCATTTCCGCCTTGCTGGCTGAGGCGCACCCATATGCCCTCCCATTGCCTTCCGACGACGTCACGCTGTGCATGGCATGTGACATCATTTCATATAGTGCGGCTCGAATAAATAGTCATTATCGCCAATTAAACAATTATAAGGACGAAAATACGTTGTAAAACGTTCACAGAATCCATGCATTCTAGATTTGAAGCTTTCGTGACTGCAAGGATTCATATTCTTAGGTTTTTTCGGTAAAGTCACGTAGGTAAAACATTACAATTAATTAAAGTAAAATTATTAATTCTTAGGTTTTTTCGGTAAAGTCACGTAGGTAAAACATTAAAATTAATCATTTTACTTTTATTAATTTTAATGTTTTACCTACGTGACTTTACCGAAAAAACCTAAGAATAAGAATCCATGCATATGCGCGATTTTCATCTTTCTAGCCCATACGTCTTCAGCTAGCATTGCTGTAACATGAGCCACCTTTTCTTAATTCCATCACAGACCATGTACTCAATATGCCCGCAGACTATTTGGTCATTTGTCTTTGACCTCATCTGTCAGTCTGACTTTGCGTGACACTGACATACGTTGAACATTTTCCAGGAAGCCCAAGTCTTTTTCTTTTTAAACAAAGGAAGTGATTTCAGTTTACACATATTTACTGGTTGGATTTGTTTCCATCTTGTCGATTTGTTTACGTGAGAAAGAAACGCGAGTTTAAAATACTACAGGAGAATGATGCTGGGAAAAACAACAGCATTCTTCGTAAATGTTGCATTGTGTCCAAAATATAGTACATTTACCTTTCCAACGAATCTTGCATTTCGGTTTCTTGAAATTCTAACTCTGTAAAAAACAAAGATTGCACGTGTTATTCGCACAGCTTATTACAATACAACACAGGAGCACATGCCTCTAATCCTGCAAGCAGCTGGGAAGCGAGTGTTGGTGATCTCACAATTTTTTTGAAACACCCAAACCTGCTAAGCTCCTAGGTGGCCAGGAGATGGAAATACAGAAAGTTGATTGGATCCATCTGTGCGGAGCTATGACGGTTATTTTAGCACGTAGGGTTTTCGCAGACACTCGTAAATCAAGTGTGGTATTTTGCATAGGATGCTTGTTGAGCATAGCCCCTTCTAAGACGTCCACAGTAGTGCGTGGGACAAGCTTGAGAGAATAAATGCTTAAGACATGGCCTAAAATAAACGACCAGAGTTTGAGAGCTGTGTCCTTCTCTGCGTGGGTTTCGCCGGGTTCTCCGATTTCCTCCCACGTGTCAAAATAATTGGCCAATCATCCCAATGCAAGATCTCCTTGAACACACATCCTCCGACTATGTCAGGCTCCCTGGACAAACAAAGGAAAATTGTATTCCTCCTCTTATTATTCTTATTCTCATATGAAGTATGTACATAATATGAACACATCATAATGTGTCCACAAATACAGTGACTGTGTATAAGGCGTTTATAGTTTCCTTTCATAAATCAAGCACAAAAGCAAATATTACATATTCGATAACGTGTTCTTATTCAGCTATCCATCTATAGGTATCTTGAGCAAGTAATTACAACCAAACAATCATTACATTTGATATGTTTGCCCGGTCACAGGTCAGGTCATGTGCTTTCAAAAAAACAAACACGCATTTTGAATAGGGACTTTTAAAAAATGGGGAAAATTGCCAATGGTTCTTGAGCAATAAGCAAAATTACAAATATTTAATCATAATTTACATTTGTTAGGCGAATTTCATCCGTAGATGCTAATGTGTCATGTATGGAATACAGGACATAAACAAAACCCGCAGGGTTATCAGCCAGAACTAGTGCGGGGTTAAGGCCAGTTTAAAGAGGTGAGTTTTCAGTACACACTTAAATATACTCTTTCGTTCTTTCGGTAAAGTCACGTAGAAAATAAAATCAAATAATAGAGTAATTCCTGCAGTCACGAAAGCTTATAATCTACACTTAAATATCTCCAACGATTCTGATTGTCAATTGCAAAGCGTTCCAACGATTGGGAGCTGCACTGGCAACAACCCCACGACCCCAGGAACAGAGCCTTGACCTCGGAGTGCTGAGAAAGCGGCGATCTGAAGATATCAGGGACCTCGTTGGAGTCTAAGAAAAAGAGTAGGGCCCAAAGTAGCTCAAGGGGCACCAGAGTTATGAATAAAAAAAGGGTGCTTCAAATATCAACTCAAATGTAAATTCTGATAAAACCTCAAAAGTAATTTATTTGTTAAAATGCCAATGAATCTCTCTCAACTCTACCTTGTCTGCATCTCTCTTCTCTCATCTCACATCATCTCTATTTTTGTTCACATTTCCCTGAACTCATCACATCTATATTTATTGTCATCTGCATCTCTTTTGTCACTTCACTATGATGTTATAAATAAAGCTGAGTGCCGACCCCCCACCCTAAAAAAAATCTGCTTAGGGCCTCTAATGGCCTGGCACCCCATAACAAATAAATCGGTCACCCCCCTTTCCCCCCACTTAGCCGCAACGCGAGCGCAAAACGATGTGCGACGCCGCTTGCCTTCGTCCACGACGGCGGCGTTGACGTGGCAGGCGCCCTCCGCCTCTCCGTGCTCCTGGCTGTCGATAGACGCCTCCGCGTTCATGATCTGCACCAGCATGGCCTCCACGATGGGCATGAGCATGGCCGCCGTGGAAGTGTTGCTCAGCCACATGGAGAGGAACGCGGCCGTCACCATGAAGCCCAGCATGAGCCTGCGCGTCAAAAGCCACGCCGTCCAAATCAAAGGGGGTCAGCGAGCGCTGGCTGTCGAGAAGGGGACGTGTTTGACCGACGCAGGCTGCAAACTGTTTCGCAGTTGTAGCAGCAGAGTAGATGTTAGCGGAGGGGGGGGGGGGTGCTACACCACTCAAGCGCCGAGTGCCCTCAGTAACTCTGGGCTCCCGTTCACCTTGGAACTCGTGCGCTATTGGGCCATGAAGTAGCCACATCTCCGCAAACCCAGTGACAGAAACTGAGCCTCTGGAATTACTGTCCACAGAGATTTCTGTATCCAATGACAGACATTGCTAACCCTGACCATAATTGTGCTTACCTATTTAGCGGTGTACTGTATTACAATTCCCATCTCTTAAGCTTTCAGTAGATTACATATCAACATAAAGTGTGTCACTTCTTTCGTCTTCGCGAAGGGTTAGAGTTTAGGAGTTGAGGTTAGAGTTTAACTGTTAGGGTTTGGAGTTAGGGGTTAGGGACAGGGACAGTTGTGCTTAAAACCACGTTTGTTGTGCTGTATCTATGGATGCTGTATCTATGGATACAGCACACGGAGCAAAATAATTTCTCAAGACTATGAATAAAACTAGGTATTAACGTTATATGTCGATGCATCAATTCCAAAAATATTGTAATTAAGTTATTGTAAGAGCGCATTTACACATTAAGTTCATGGATGCATGTAATTTCAAAAAATTACAGCATGAATTACTGGCACACATTATAAAATACTTATTGCAAAAAATATCTATCTATCTCGAACATCCATGAGAAAGGAATGACCATTTACATCCAGGTAAAAAAGAAACCACACATTTCGAACAGAAACAACGTATCCCACAAATATCTCACTCTGGAGAGTCCACCCATCAAATCTAATTAAATTCTGACACGTCATCTCAGACGCATTGTAGGAACAGGTAGAGGCGTGGGTGGACAGAGCATCAGACAGACAGACAGACGTACAGACACACCTCGTGACAGCAAAATCCCTCTGGCCCTCATCAGATGGATTCACATCGGAAGCAGGAATGAACGTGGGTGGACTTTGCGGAAAACGCTATTTTTTTATATTTTAGTTTTACACCAAAACGCCCACCCCCCCCCCCCCCCCAGTGGCGGCTCCTGCAAAATCTCTCAGGGGGGGCAAATGTCTGGATGATTGATAAGGATAAGGTCCCCCCCATGCAAAGGATAAATTAACAGCTTAAGCATGTAAAGGCAACTTCACTTCTTTAATATTAATGAAAAATAAAGTGACTCTTACAATACATCTTGTTTGTTTCTATACTCACTATTAATACAATCCACTCATGTTTATTTTATTAAAGATTCCACTAGGTGGCGACAAATAATTTTGTTGCATGAAACGTGCTTACGTATGAAGACAGTAAGCACGTTAGTGCGAGCCCTCCCGGAAGCCATAGAGAATGCATTGCAGCGCCCCCCTTTCGAAAAAAAACATCTTTGAATGTAAGTCTACGGGACCACTCGGGGCGATTCTCAGCTGGAGGGAAATCGCCCAAAAAGAGGCGGTACTCCACAGAACGTAGTATGACGCTGATTGGACTATATCCAGAGGCACAGTGACGGCTAGCGTGACTCTGTGGTTGAATGACATTGGTAGTGCGTCGCCCTATCGCCCTAATGAAGAAACCACCCCTGCCCCCCCCCACCACTCGCCGGCATCCACTTACCAGGCCGGGTTGGAGCCCACGACCATCACCATACGCAGAGCGATGCGCTTGTGCAGGTTGGCCTTTTCGATGGCAGCTGCCAGGCAGATGACTCCCGTCAGCAACAGGTGGAAATCCTTGAAATACTCAGCGGCCACCTGCACAAGCATAGCAGCAGCGCCAGTGACCGTTAATACAATCAAATGAATGAGGCAACTTCACGCATAGGCAAGGGCACGCAACCGAGGCAAGACCGACAATGACGATGAAACATTGACGAGGCCTCATCCGTGCAGCTCGAACGTCTGGACGCGTCTTGATTGCTCGCGTCACTGCTGCGCATTATTGTCTGGGGTTGCATATTAGTTCGGGAACGGAACACATTATACAGGGTGCTTCAAATTTGTTTTTTAACAACTTCTGAGAATTTGCAACAATACCACGGGAAATGTGCCTCCCGGGATCTGGAGACCACCTGGAGAAGATTCCAGGCACGTGTTGACAATGATGGCGAACACGTGGAGACTCTTTGACTTTTTGACGCTATTAACATACATTTGTTTTCATGTTACAGTCTATTTTCCGTTCTTTTTCCAATAAAATCATAGTGCCATATAGGTCTTTAAAAAAAATTAAGCACACTGTAAATATGCTGTTAGTGAGCACCTATGAAGGCTGACACGGCGCACGAGAGGGTGGGTGGTCAGCACCACGCCCGGCCGCCTTTGTCTCCCCAGTGGCGATGTTTTACGCACCGCACCGGATACTCAATTGAGGCCGAGTAGCCCTAGAGGCAGGCCCAGGATCGGTTCAGATAATCGTCACCGGTGTTGACCGTGAGCGGGAATGGAACTCGGGCAGCCAGGTTTGTAGTGCTGTGAACTAACCGCGACACTACTGCACACACACACAGACATTTATGACTCCAATACCGCATGAAGGCCTCCCCATGACCATGCGGTTTATTGACATACTCCACTTTGCTGGGCAACGCAGGTTGGTGAAAACACGAATTATACATATGGGAGCATAGCAGTACAGACAGGACAATGGATTTTTTCCCATACTCTACCCCCTGCCCATAATGTCGCCAGCCTTGCAGCCAAATCACTCGTTATGCATGGTGGTCACCTATCCAAGCACTATCCAGGTTCAAACCCGCTTAGCTTTTGAGATCTCATGAAATCCGGTGCATTCGGTTCGAGGCATGTAAACACAGTAACTGTAATGTGGAAATGTGTCTGAGAAATTGTACATGCCCATGTATGCCACAGTAAAAGCATTAAAACAAATACGATACAATAAAACCCTTTAAAATGTGTTCATGGCTTTCAAGAATTCGACTGTGTATCAGCCTCGTCTGCTTCTAAGCCAAAAGTCAGGTTATTTGCATGGGGTGTACAAGTGTGAACATTAACTATAGTTTACCTGAGCAGCTACTTTATCCCAATGAAATGCTACTTTAATCCTTTAGCCTGAGACTCAGGCTTTCCTGGGTAAAAAAGCTTCTGACAAATGAGTCATACGGATAGACTCACCCCCTCCATAGGAATGTGGAATTTCCACCACTGACTCTGCAGGGCTGTAAGCGGATTATCACTGCCTCAATGTTCATTTAAGCAGGAACTCATTTTGTTTGAGTCTTCTATTGTTATACGAGTTCAGGAATGTAATACGTGATTATTGTGATATAATTGAATTATCACATAACAAGGAAAAAAAACACGCAGAGGTATGTATTCTGTAATGATTTGTAGTGTATAGTAGTGTAGTGTATCGTAGTGTAATGTATAGTGTAGTGTATAGTAGTGTAGTGTCTCCATAGAGCCCAATGTGTAGTGTATAGTGCAGTCTATAGTAGTGTAGTGTATAGTGTAGTGTATAGTGGTGTAGTGTATAGTGTAGTCTATAGTAGTGTAGTGTATAGTGTAGTGTATAGTAGTGTAGTGTATAGTAGTGTATAGTGTAGTGTATAGTAGTGTAGTGTATAGTAGTGTAGTGCCTCCATAGAGCCCAATGTGTTCGCTTATCGACCATTCCCCTGTTAACGACGGGCTGTTGTAGGTACAGTAAATATTAATGAATGCATTGTTTAACCATGTTTTTTTTAATATATATTATGTTTTTTATAATGTTGTTAATATCTTTATGTATTAACATCAATAGTTAAATAATTATAAAGTACGTTTTTTGGGGGGTGAAAAAGGGTAACTTTCGATGCTCCCAGAACGAATTAAGCGATACTCGCTTAACGACCGGTTCTGTGGAACCAATCACCGCCCTGAACAGGGGTTCGACTGCGCGCTTGTACTTCAACGTATTTTGCGAAACTGTCACACGTCTGAAGCTGCACAACGGGACCATTGTCAAATGTCAAATGCCACGGCGAACGATTTTATCGTCGATGATTTTTTTTGCCGCCGCATCATCGGCGGCCCCCTTTATCAATTTGACCGCTCTCAGTCGTTTCCTTCAGACGTACGGAGCTTAACGCGTTAACGTTTTCAACCTTAGTGGGTAAGCGCTAATCGGTCATATTCGTAAGTTCATGTGTGCTCCCGAAACTCCATCGGAACTTGGGCATTTGTTTTATACTCACGCGAGACGTGACATCGAGTAAATATTCTAGATTTGAAGCTTTCGTGACTGCAAGGATCCATACTCTTAGTTTTTTCGGTAAAGTAACGTAGGTAAAAAATTTAATTAAAATTAATTTAATTTCGTTTTTTACCTACGTGACTTTACCGTAGGTAAAAAATGAAATTAAAATTAATTTCATTTCATTTCTTACCTACGTGACTTTACCGAAAAAACTAAGAGTATCGAGTAAATAGTAAATGAATAACGACGATAACGATGACGGTGGACACCTGTGAACAAAAAAGAGCTTTACAGCTCATCGGATTTCTCCAGGGCAAATCAAGAAAAATATATCCGATTAAAAAAACAACGTTAGAAGGGTTAACCTCGCTCGACTTGAGGATGCCGAAGAGAGGGAAGAGGAATCCTGGCACCATGGCCGCAGCCCCAAGTGGAACGGCTTCCGAGATCCAGTAGACGGCCGTCACGATGAGGGTGTAGCCACATTGAGCCGCCTGAACAGAGACACAGCAAAAGAAGGACCACGGCTCTCATTTGCCACCAAATCTTGGCGGTGACATCACCACGGCGCCTGTGCCAGGCCAGGTGCACTTTGAAGCCAGGGCGATAACAAGTACGGAGGGCACCAGCCACACCCTTCAACTTGGCGAGGGTTCTTATAGGGGTGCCACGGTGGCGAGATGTTAACTCCCTCGCCTGGTATACAGGGGGGTCGTGGGTTCAATCCCGACCCAGACGATGTCTGGTGTATACAGTATTTGGATTTTGCGTGTTCTCCCCCTGTTTGTGTGGATTTTTCTCCGGGTTCTCCGGGGGTTTAAGAATGAGCGAAATGCACGCCAGATTAAGAATTCATGACTCAGTGTGAAAGGTTCAGATTTGTGAGCATCTACAGAGATGACCGTGACACCTGGCGCATATACTGCACTGAGTGTCGGTGGTATTAATGGTCAGGGCAGCTTTGTGACGATCGCTTTTGCGACGTTGTACTGAGCCAAATAGATAATACTACTAATCGTTATACTACTTGTATGATAAATATAATTATAAGCATAATGCATTGGAATTGTGCAACATTGCTTAATAACTAGACTATAAACACAACATATATTGCCATTCTGAGTAATTGACTATATCTTCTTGGTTCTTTCGGTAAAATCACGTAGAAGGGAAATAATAAAATAATAAAAACATCATCAAATAATTCTCACGACGTTTCGGCCACAACGCAAGCAGCCGTCCTCAGGTGAAGAACAGGTCTGTCGGAAAGACAGCGTCTGAATGAACACCACCAGGCTTGGCAGCGTATATTTAAGCTGGGTTGGAGGGGGAAGAGCGCCTTTACCGAAAGAACCAAGAAGATGAATCCCTGCAGTCACGAAAGCTTTAAATCGAAATTTTATTGACTATATTTTATGATTACGGACTTTGCAGTCTAATATAAAACTATTTTTACAAACACCTACAACTGCTATTGACGAAAGTGCATCATGGGCTAAAACTAAACTATTCTTGGTTATTCTCCAGACTACAAATGACCCCAACAGCCATACCCTTGTGCGATAACACTGATAAAGGAACAATACTAATCTGAAAACCCCTCCGAATCAGCACTCTTTGCTAAATGTAGCTAGAAATGCTGATAGCAAATTATATTGCATACTATTCTTAAACGTTTAATTTTACCAGATATGGCCCACTAAGCAATATAGCTCTTATTTTAGAAGCGACCTGGCCACAAATCATAACTCAACGAAGTGGCTTGTCACGTGGAAATGTAATGCAGACAAATAATCTAAAGACATGTTCCTAATGTGGAGAGTAAAACCGGAGGGCCCAGAGAAAAATCCACACGACCACAGGGAGAACTTGCAAAGTCCAAATATATAGGGGTCAGGGTCGGGATCGGGATCGAACCCACGCGTATCCGAGGCGAGGTCGTTAACATATCACCACCGTGGCGCCTAAGTGAGAACAGAGAGAGCCTCTGGCTTGCTGAAGTTTCTCCGCTTATTTAACCTAACAGGAGCATTAAATGGTCAGAGGTAATTTTACTTTCAGCACAAGTAGGTATTGCATGGACAATGATTGCATTAATAGCCCAGAGGAATGTCCCAAATGTACTGGTACAATGAAGGCAGACAGTGTTTCCCTTCTACTTGAATGCAGAGACCGATCCGATTTGTGTTTGGTCACAAGAGGCCTCACTGTGCCTGCCTTATGAACGACAGCATCTGAGTTGTTGTGGGGCTCTTCTCAAGATGACAGAAATCTTATACATGGCTTCGCAGCATTCATGAGTTTTGAATGATCAGGGACGGTATTATCAGAATGTTGTACTTGCCGATGCACCGTATACATATATAATGTATGTGGTGTGATGGACCGTTGCCCGAAACATCGCCTATATAAGTTTCCCCTGGTAAGGCAGCGTTATTGACGAACCCGTTCAGCGTTATTTGTGTTTTGTACCACTGCCAAAGCAGTATCACCAATGCATTTGTTTGGTTTGTATAATGTAACTCAGCATTGAACAAACCACGGTCATTATTTGTGATGGGTGTGCTTTTAGCCAAATTACAGTATATGAAATGTAATTAAAAGTAGAAACAATCGCACGCATGACTTTATTAAAGTAATCCCTAACATAATTCGACTTATTTTGTCGTTCGTTATATTTTGATCAAAGTACATCTTAATAACATCTTGGCCATCCTCGAAGACTGGAATGCAACCGTGGTAGTGTCTGAATGACGCAATGACTTCATATTAGGACACGAGCAAATTAGAATTTGTTTTATTCATAACTCTTATGAAATGTTAATTCTTGAAAAATACAAAAGGTGGTCAAATATGATCAAACGTGATATAAGTAGAAATACCCCATATTTGTTGAATCGTTTTGTGCATTTTGCATAAAATCCAGTTTTAGAAAATGCGTAAAGCGCTGTACAAGTCAAAATACGATTTCAGCATTTCATTCTTAAAATGTAATCACCGCCTATTCAGTAATGCACAAATAAGAGTAAATTAGAGTAAATTATGCTATATTTTTTCCGTTCATACTTTTAAACGTTAAAACTGTGCATGAAGTTGCATAACCGTACACTTAGAACTAAATTGTAAACCTTTTAAAATATATATATTTTAAACGGTGGCATAAAACCAGTTCGAATGCAAAACAATTCAAGCATACAAAATGACAGACTTTTACAAGGGACTTAAACCAGTTGCACCTACCGGTGTTTTGATGGCAAGTGGAAGAGGCAGGAGGAGTAGAGGCGTCAAGACAACGATGAGGAATTTGCGGTACCTCCAAAAGGCACGAAGACAACCCATGGCAGAAGACGTCTGGTTTTTCACTGTGACCTCTCAATACGCCTGCTCAGAGACACCAAGTGTCACTTGAAGGTATGGGACCAGCATGGGCACTCACCGCCGGCTTTATACCAAGATTCGGGGTTAATGAGTAAGCCTAGACCGCCGCCCTGAGTTGAATGAGCGTCCAATGTTCCATCCTTGCAGAATCGTCAAAGGACGATGACCCCACTCCGAGAAACGGCACCTGAAGATGAATTTTACAAAACTGCTAAAGTAAATGAATGCATTTTTCTATCTCTGCATATTGATCATCTTAATAGAATTATTTTCAAACGTGATTGTCTCTCTTGAAATGTATTTTGTTCTAGTGCAAGTGTTTGGTACTATATCCAACGTTTTCATCCAGCACGCTCCCAGTACATTGAGTCAAACGTCAGACATCATGCCAATCGATACGCAGTACAGGACAACTGTGACAACCGTACATTTTGAAAGTTTATTTTTGTATCCAATAAACTCTGAAACAAGAGTAATATTTTTTGTAGATGTTTTATTTCACTAACTACAATACACTACATGTTACCTAACAAAACCAATCAAATTAGTAAAATCGAATAATTACAATGCCCATGCACGTGTAATATTGAGTCAAGTGCCCATTAAATGTATAACCCAGAGTTCCATGTCAACATATGGGGGATATATTCCCTATTTTTAACATCAGTTGATAATTAATGTGGATGGAGTTTTGAAGCAATCGGTGTCAGAATGTTAATTTGGAGGCGAGGCCGGCTTTAACGACCCAATGTAAAAAATTTGAGTAAATTATGATGGTACGTTGACACATCGCCGGGTTATAAAACAGCGCGCGACTTCATGTACCACTCCCCCATAAAGTTTAGAAACTGGAGGCATTGCTACCACGAAATCAGAGGTAGCGCAATCACCCAAAGACTCTCTCCAAAAACCATCGACCCCTTACGTAATGAGTAGTTTATGACGTATTTACATGTCAACGACCCCATACACCTTTCAGGATTAAAATCAATATATTATATGCTGACATGACCAACGTGGAATTTCTGTCAAAGGCAGTTGGAAGAATCTTGTAGACAGGAATTGAGACAGATGTGTGCATGTTTGGCAAAACTTAAACGGATTACTTTGTCGCATAATAGGCGTCATCGCCTCATTGGACATACTTTACACCTTTGCATCCGTATGTCTTGAAGCTCTTATCAGTTTTGCTGTAAATGGATACGTTACCAGTAGCCAGTGATTTAACTGACTTTTGTTATGTATATAGTGGATAACGTTATTGGACATGAAAGTCTATGTCCATCGACGAACAATGCGATTTTTTGTTGTCATTTTACCATGAAATATTAGTTGAACATCATATGCGTTTCAGTAGATGCAAAATGCGCAACATTGCCAAATGGCATTACAACCTACAACTCTGCAGTGAAATGTTAATATGATAGACAAATCAATCTCACATCAACAATAATCGTAATGCTGCCAAACAAATAAAAAACACGTGACGTACAATTATCTTCAATGATTATGAAAAGGAAGATTTTATATTTTGTTACTAATAGGTATTGGTACAACTCTTGTGAAACATGCCTTGTATGAAATACTATGCACAAGTATAATGGGAATTTACAAGTTTACCTACTCTATATTTTAATTAGAAGACTTGGCAGATATACTACCAATACATGTAAACCCTTCAGCAATCAGTGCTTAAAGTCTCATAAAAACAATTCCATTGATTAAAAATTCCCAGAATTATGAAAAATGCCACCATGATTAAAAATCCTCCAGTACGATTAAAACCGTGTTTATAGTTGCGTCTCTCGCATGTTTCTGGTCAACAAAAAAATTAAACGAATATTTTTTACGTGAATGTTGCATATTTTTAGTTCAGGCATTAACTTAAACATTGATATTCAAATCGATATCTCTACAAGGTAAAAGGGGTAAAGGTGCAGCCCTGCAATTTCTTGGTCACACCAATGCTTGTGGAAGGGCCTCCACGAGAGGGAGCTTTAGAAAGCCCCTCGAGAGGGTATTTTCCCAACGCTTTCACACGTGTCAGACGTCTTGGAAGAGGTCGGAGGACCGACACTTCACCCCACCACGAAACCTGTCGACCGACTGTGGTGGAGCTACTGGGTGGAAAGGTGTGAGGGTGGGGGGGATTTATGAAACTTGCACAATTATTTCAACTGCTGTGCTGGGAGATCGAAATGGTGATGTCCGATAGCAAATGCAGTGCTACAAATAATGAGTGGCTGGCATTCTATGGAATAAGAAATACTAGTTGGCGGTGATGCATAAGCACATCAATAACATTACCCTAAAGAAAAAAAAAACGTGACGTTTAGAGTAATTGGCATTGTCTCTGCTATTAAGATATTTCCTCAAAAATTTAAATGACATAATTCAATAACTCAACCTAGTCATATGCCTTTAGAAAGCTATGATGGACATGTTAGCTCATTGCAATAACTTTGGATTTCATATTCTTTGGGTCTTTCGATAAAGTCACGTAGATAGGTTAAAAGAAAATAACAAAAACATGTATTTGAACCTATCTACGTGACTTTACCGAAAGACCCAAACAAAGATAAATTCCTGCAGTCACGAAAGATTTAAGTACAGATTTAACTTTGGATTTCTATTCATATTTAACGGGTAGTGTTATTGTATGCCTATTATATTCTTTAGGTCTTTCGGTAAAGTCACATAGAACAATATTTTTTTTACAAAACACAAGCAATCCTGATGACGATTGCTTGTTGCGATCGAAACGTCGTAGTTTTTTGTAAAAAAAAATTGTTCTACGTGACTTTACCGAAAGACCCAAAGAATATGCATTCCTGCAGTCACGAAAGCTTTAAGATTGTATGCCTATTGGCCTATTCTCGTTATATTTCATATCCAAATATCTTGGTATTTTTAAGTGATTTAGTAGTAAATTACGTAAAGTTCTAAACTCTTTAATTATTCTTTTTCCAATTTCGTATGTTTATCCGCCAGCAGTTGGCTTCAAAGGGTGGGTGGCCACTAAGGACCCATGCTGTTTTAGCGCCACCTGCTGCCGAGCCCATCTCTCACTTACAACTGGCAGCTCCAAGAACATGCCTGCTTGGATTAACCCCAGTCACATTGATATTTCATTTGAAATGACTTCTAGATTTGAAGTCTTCGTGACTGCAAGGATCCATACCCTTTGGTTCTTTCGGTAAAGTCACGTAGGTGAAAAAATAAAATACAAAATTTCGAATAAAAAAAATAGAAATAACTAAATTAAATTTGATTTCTATTTTAACAAAATTAGATGTAGTTATTTATATATTTTTTATTCTTAAAATGTTATTTTATTTTTTCACCTACGTGACTTTACCGAAAGAACCAAAGAGTTTGAAATGACTTTCTTCATATTGCTGTTCAGGTAAACATTATTATGCATGGGTCATTGTTCACTTGATTTTCAACTTAATTATAATTTCATGTTAACAGTATTTTAGTTCGTGCTTGCAATATTACACACCAAATCAATGCATCTATGCAAACCCTAATATGCATATTATATGTACCTAATTTAAGTTAGCAGTCTTGTGTATTCTCCCATACACATATTGAATGCATTTGTAGTCCTCTTACATTGATCTTTGAGTGATATTCTACTAGAACATCGGACGAAACACATTAGTGGTGCTTCCAAGCAGTGACTCGCGTGCATGCACTTGGGCACTACACATTTGTGCAAATGTAAATATCGTCATCGGCCAGTGCTGCATTGGCTCATTAAACACAATCTTCTGGGTTTTGGATGCATGCTCTCCTGCCACGCAGATAAAATTATGTTTCATCCCAAGAAACATTTAGTTTGAACACATTAAAATGCAAAACACTAAAAATACAGCACTTTTTTTAAGCAACGTATTTGTCAAGAGGCTTTTATGTCATAAATTACTTTAAACTGTTTCTGTGATAGATGCAAAATAATACTGGAATCCATTTAAACACGAGTGCACATTATTACCGCTTTGATATTGAAAATAATTTCGCAGTCACTTAAAAGATGTATTTAAGTTCTGAAGAATCAAGGTAAAACGGTTGTACCTTACTGTTGATGAGCTCCAGGCAGACAATGCTCTGGTGAAAAACACCTTGCCGCTGAAATGTTTAATTTTAAGGACGAAAGTAAACCTGTGTTGCCACGACAACTTGATCAAGATGTGTGCTTTAACCAGACCCCCTCACAGCTGCCACTTAGCTTACTAATCCACGTGAAGTGGCTGAATGATTTGTAATGCGAGTCATTTTCTTCACGTAAAAAAATACCCCAGCATTGAACACATAAAAGTCATAGCACAAAGCAAAAACCTATTTGTCTCCACCGAATTTAAATTTAGGCACGAGAACATGCTTAGTGTTTGTTGCGCAACATACACAAACGCGGTGGTCAAAGCTACTGGCTTAAGACAGATTACCTCAATTGTTTGGTCATGTTACAATGTTGCGTCTCAAATGGGATTACATTTTTTTTTCATATTTCATGAAAACGGGACGTTTAATAATGTATTTTATTCATTGTTTCTGAAATAAAAACATCAACACTAAACACAACAAACGTTGTTGATAAAAAAAAACTTCCAGTGAAAAATCTTCAATTTGTACAAAGCAAAGAATGTCAACTTTTAACACAGATCACAGATAAGCACACAGCAACATGAAACCTTTTAAAATAAAATAATCTATATGCATAAATACATCAAATATTAAACGTTAAGCATTCAGCAAATCAAATCATATGTATTAGTGTTGTACAAATGTCTCTCAATTCATTGCTTAGGTATTTGAGAGCCTGACATTGCTAAATATTTTTTTATGTAAGTGGTGGACCCAGCTGAAGTGGGTACATCCACAAACTCCACTTTCGTGGAATGAAATGGCAAACATCACGCCAAGAATGGCACAGTTGAAAGTGGTCCATTGGCTAAGAACATTTTTTTTAAGGCTACAACATTCCCCAGCTGAGTGGCCGGTCTTAGTGTGAAGCAGACTCGCCTGATACTGAGCAATTATTTACTCAAGCCACAATTTAAGGTTTTAGAACAGCAACTAGCATGTTTGTTATAAAATAACCATTACAAATAATACCACACAAGTCACTCACTTTCTTCAATTTAGTCCCTTTAAATGCCCGTTGTCTATAAAAAGGCATGCCAATTACTTATAGTATGATGAAGCTTACATATGGTTGTAACATTAATTACAGTTAAAAAAACTAATATTCTACAACACTCTTTTATAAATACGATGTCGTTGTAACACATATCCCCAAACATCAGTGTTACACGGTATCTTTGACACACCAGTTGTCAACGTGATGGTATATTCTTGTAAATGCCTCCCTTTCATGTTTTAATAGTGAATTAAGTAAACACAAATCTACATAATGGATTTAGAATGTGTTCCCACATATAGCTTGTTTACACATACAATCCAGGTCCACAAACCACTGCTTCCGCAGTTATAGATCATTCCAGTACACTGTCCAGGTCACAGACTGCAAGTGATTGTGGGCTTGCATATAATCGTCCAAGATGACCCTTGAATGCTCTGCAACAAATACGCGCACGCGCACACACACACACAATCGGTCCTGTTGTGCGGTGGCTTGGCACATAGCAAAGGTACAGCATGTTTTGAGATTAATCTGGCATGGGTTTCTTTCACATCACAAGGGACGTATTAACTCCACTTTGGCGACAAAAAATTAGGAGGCACACATTTCACACGGATACCAAGTGAGCAATGGATATTTGTCGCCACTTAAAAAACTGCTTTCAATGTACCGTAATTATTGTAAAAATGTCTGTACAGCTGCATCGAATCAGCATTGGCAAAAACCGAACCAATTCAATGGAATACTAAATAACATTCATCACACAGTTGTGTCGTACTACATACTGCAGTGGTATATTACGATGATAGGCTGCGGAATATGCATCAGCACTGGCCAAGAGCAATAAATGAAGTGGTGGCTGTCTTAAAAGTGCCTCTACCAGTCTGATTATAATAGCAGGGATTTACTATTTAACTACCTCCACAGGCCACACCTGGAGAGAATAATTTCCAATTCTCCAAACAGATCACGAAGCCACAACACTCTAGAGGTTCGGGGCACAGAGGGGAGAAGCGACATTTGAACAGCAATTCATGACATATGCTGTGTGGGTCTGCGTATTACTGTATTCATTGCACAAAGCATATTTATCTGAGGAAAGCTGAAAGGCTTGGTGAATCAATTGAATGCCAGTGTGCTTTTAAAAAGGATACAATACACACCACCATGATTAGTATAGCTGCACAGGTATGTTATCCACTTTGTAGTGATGCATTAATTGAATTGGGGGATTATGCAGAGCCGAGTATTCCATTATAATCAAACTATGTGGTAGAAGTATGCAAACCTTGAAGCAGAATAGACAACTATTCCCTGAAATTAATTAACATAGAAATGCTACGATTCACCATGAAGAATGATACAGAAAATATCTGTCATTATTACAAGGCCAGAGGGTTTACTAGAAAAACTTCTGAACGAGAATAGGTCCATAAATCAGGACCCGAAATGGTTTAAATTCAGCACTCGTATGACAACACAATAGAGTATGAATAAGTCAAAAGGGTTTAACCTGGATTTAAACAAATTGATTTGATTGACTGATAACCTTAGCCATTGTTGCATTTCCCCCCTACAACCTGCATGGATGCCACCTTAACAGCATCGATCTACAGCCCTTAACAATCCACTGCTGGATGCAGGCCTCCCCAAGCCATGTCCGTCATGTGAGTTAATTGACCATACCTTACCATGCCGGTCAATGAGAGTTGGTAAAGGGGTGTCCAGGACAGGTTCAGGTGTCACTCACCACTGATGTTAGCGATGGCTGGGAATTGAACTCAGGTGGACGAGTTCACAGTGCTATGCGCCAGAGGTGTGGACTCGAGTCATGTGACTTGGACTCGAGTCAGACTCGAGTCATGAATTTGATGACTTCAGACTCGACTTGGACTTGCATAACAATGACTTTGTCCCACCTCTGCTATGCGCTCACCAGTGTGCCACCGCTGTAAACACCCCCCCCCCCCCCGACCACCCTCCCACAGCATAAACAGCGTTAAATGCATTCTGACCTGTCATGAGAGGACATTCGTGGAAGTGCAGGTATTTAATTTGTGGGCAGGACTTGAGCACAGCCTCCACTGCCTTGTCTGTCAGACTCGGGCAGTGGTCCATGTGCACCTCCTAGAGGCAGAGGCACATGCAGCGATGCATAGCGCACTCTGCTCCACACCGAACACACATAAATCCCCAGCAGCTAAAAAATTATTTAACAAAAACATGTCACCCTCCTCGGGAGTAATAGAGGCTTTGTAAAAAAGAAACAAGAAGAAAAAAATCCGCAACACATGTTAAATAAAATATACTGGGATGCTCATTTCTACTCAGAAAATGACTGACATTTTGTAAAAGTAGATTTTCATTTAGCAGATTCTGCTCATTGATCTGAAGGCAACCATAATCTATACAATTTTATGGGAAAAAAAATGTTCATTCCAAAAACAAGACAATAAAAATTCAAAGCATTGTATGCATGCATAAGAAAACACTGCACAACATTAAAGTGTAAGAAATTTTCTATATTAATGCATCTGATGATTACAGCTTGATTATAAAAACAAAGACTATTGTATGTTAATGAATGGACCACACACATTGTTATAATTATCACAACTGTGACTACTATTATCACACCACAGCTACTATTTCCCAGGTGGAATAACCTAATTATACAATGACTAAAAGCCATTGTTAATGCAGGGCTGGGTGGAAAATAAAACATGCTATTTAGGATTAAAAAAAACTGATTTCAATTGCAGAATGAATCCCACAATGATCAAATTTGGTTTATGAAAAAAAAATCATTACGTACTAAACTTAAGTGTCAGGATACAGCATCAGGTGATGTGAAACTAAAGTGAGCTATATATTCAAATGCATCACACAGTGGTACACAGGATTACAAATAACATCTTAATTGAATTCCACTTTTGAAAACGAAACCCATGTTTGCTATACATTTCCGGATATGTGGCAGTCTTTTTAACAAATAGGTGTACTTGCAGAAATGTGCTGCTGCAGTTTCGGTTGCTGCTGTTGCAGCAGAATTTGGGAACGTGCTTCCCACTGGCTCAAACCATAGCACACTGTGCATATTGAGTGCACTATGTACAATCCGTCACATTCTAGCTGTGTCAGTCTAATGGACGAATGGCCATTAAGAGTTGGAAGCCCACTGCGAGACCATATTTATTTAAATTCAACGGATACTTTTGCTGCAGAGACACCCAGATGATGTACGTGCGGTAGAAAGAAGAGTATGCAATGCAGACAGCAAGTTACACATTCCTACAAGACAGAGCAGCGAGCGAGCTTATGAAAACATTCACTAAAGAAATTTGCTCCAATGAATGTGCCTGTGCTAGTTTTAATCAAAATAATCAATACATAATACAACCGTTCTCAATCTACGAAAGGGTCACGGAGATGTTACCATACTTGACCACGCTGGTTAGTGTGGCTTACTGAAAGGAGGGAAAGGCAGGATTCCTTCTGATATCATTTGCCAATTATTCACGTATGTTGAACTTATTTCACACCACGTGTAGCCAACGCTGCTAATCATGTTTGCCATGTTCGAGAATCGAACTCGAGTCGCCAGGTTTATACCGCTGCCCACTAACAACTGATCAATCACTCCACTCCTACAACGAAAAAGGCAAATATTATTTAACAACAGCAAATCGTGACTTGGCTTTCATGTAACTGCAACGTTCCTGGGCATTAGGTTGGCAGTGTATAATGTTTGAAAGTTTGAGCATGTGCACACTGCAAAAAGCAGAAGACCAATTGTTCCACAGCCTCGGAATATTTTTTGCTTCTAATCCTCAGCAAAGATTCATGACCAATTTCGTGGCACGTATTATGCATAAGTAGCTCACCTCCAAGGATTTGGAACATGCCCCATTCACCAGCGCAATCACACCTTCATCTGTCACCTGTCCCGAAACATGAACATCATGTATTCACTTAGCAGCAATAAACAGCACACAAGCTGTGAAAAATCTAATCACACACGTTCATCCCCACAAGGTCGCAAAACACATTTTTTGATGACATGCACCAAAAATATGTAAAATTTATTCAAATTTTGTTGAACATGACAATGATGTTTTAAAATAAATCATTTTATATGAGATGCACTGCCGTGAGCTCCTAAATATTAAAATTTATTTTCATTGACGACAAAATTATGTATTCGCATTTTAAAGACTATAGCAACAATGTCGATTAAGGAAATTAAATTGACAGATCAAATGCAAAATTGCACAAAAACAATCATATGGAATATATATATCCCACACATATGTACTATTAATAACGAGCTATCATATCTTTGGGGGTCAATTAACAAGGCGAATGACGTCCCAAAATTAGCAACAGCATGTTCAAGAACACGTCTCGAAGGGGATAAACGATAACTTTGGGAGAGTGGAGGGACGTGGCATGTGCTAAGCCGCTCTGTTTGATAAGTGCTACAATTCAGATGTGAAAGGTGTTGTCACCCTGATGTGTTTTGGCCAGTTTTCAGTGTGTTTTCCTGTCTAACTGATGGATGAGTCAACGTTCAGCCAAAGTCATGGCCAGGGTCAACAATTCTGAAAAAAGTCTAACATTAGCCAAAACCAAAGGCCACTCAGAAGTTCAATTATGTGGGAATTCAATAAAGGTTGGTAAAGTAAGATATCAAATGCAGAGCCCAAGGACAATTTGAGTGTTGAAATTATGTCAAAGAAAAATATGAAAATAGTATTATTAGAGGTTTCAGAGGGTCTGCGTTTGTGCCATTTGCTATACTGTTAAGCAAATATTCACGTACAAGAGCTCATGGGTGAATTCTGCAGATATATGAACAATTTAAACTGGTTAAATTAGCCGCTTCATCCCTACACAGAGATGGGAAATCTATCCAAGGGTGCAAAAAATGAGATGGAAATGAATGGACAACCAACTGGCATTTATAACTCTACTGCCAACAAAGTGTCAGTGTCATTTTGGAACACCATAAATCATCTGCCAGTGTAGGTACTTGTGTGTCCTGGCAATCAGCCTTAAAAATATGCACAGACCACATATGCAATGCCAAAAACATTAGTTTTTTTAATAGTCAACGGCTCATATAAATTGATTTGAAAATATACAAATATAAAATACCACTGCAGAAGTACCAAATTCAATTCCCGATGAAGGCAAGGATAACTGTCAGAATGATGATTAATATCTCAATTTTTCTGGCCTACACTAAGTATAGTATTGTATTAGATGTGGTAAAGTGTGAATTGTATGAGCCAAATATGTAGAAAATAGAAAATGCATTAATGAAGTAGCAGTCCTCCTGCTGTGTTTGTTTCACACCTGATGACGGTTGCTTGTGTTGCGATCTAAATGTCGTGATTTATTATTTTTTCTACCTATGTGACTTTACCGAAAGAACCAAAGAGTAAGGATTCCTGCAGTCACGAAAGCTTCAAATCAAGATTGAAGTAAAACTGGTCGCTCTTTTCAAAAACTGGATTTAGGTTTAAATAAAATAATTCAACAAACAGTAAAACCTATTCTTGGTTCTTTCGGTAAAGTCACACCTGATGATGATTGCTTGTGTTGCAGCCGAAACGTCGTCAGAATTTTTATTGTTTTATATTTATATTATTTTATTATTTCCGTTCTACGTGACTTTACCGAAAGAACCAAGAATATGAATCCCTGCAGTCACGAAAGCTTTAAATCAAAATTTAAACAGTAAAACCTATAATTATTTAGCTTATTTATAAAGTGCACGTACAAAACTTTGCCTGTAAATGACGTTGGTGCATTCCGTATACAGACAACAAAGAAATGGATTATCTAGCATATGTAAAGGCAGATCTATACCTTGTGTGTCAATTTACTTGCGTCTTATCAAAGCTGGGACGGAGCAGATAAGCACGCTGCTTAAACAGGTTTAGCGAAAAAAACACGTGTGTCCTTGCTATAAAGGCAAACATTTATTTGCTTTCAAGTTACCTTGTTTGTGCAAATCAGATAGTAAACACAATACATCTTATTACGCATGCATTGCATCATGTCGTACGATCTGCACATTCTTATTATCTGAACCGATGGAAATGCTGCCACAAACCCTATATATTTACGGAACAAACTTTTGTTCAGTTTTCGTACACATATAAAAAAAAGACATCACATTGCTTTAGCGTGCTCGGAACACGTCAACATACCCGTGCATGTGACGCAAACATCATACCTGCGTTTTAGCAAAGTTAATGAACTGCAAGGATGAGGAGGCACGCCCCAAGGCGTGAAGAGAGGCATCGCCCAGTCGATGGCATCCTCTCAGGTTTAGGATCCATAGCTGTGGGCAGGATGCAGCCAGCTTTATTATTGCCCGGTCGGTGAGCTCTGTGCACTGCGACAATTCCACGTCCCGCAGCAATGGGCAGCACGCTGCTAAGATCTCCACTCCTGCACGTGCAAGCACAAGTACATACACAATTGCTGAGAAAAGCAGGCACAATCCCATGCACGCAACTTAATGCTGTCATTTATCATTTGGAGCAACAAACACAAATCTAGGGTTTTCAGTTTCAGTAGCACATGCAAGTGCACTATGGGAACCTCATTTGCCAGTAAAAATATGATAATTGGTTCTTTACCCTTCTATCTGGCAACAAAACTGACACCTTTTTACAAGGAGTCATGTTTGCATAGACCGCAATACCTGCAGTCATAATACAAACAAAAGAACATAACTCTGATAATGTGCACTGTCCTTGAAGTTGATTGGTCCACACCCGAGACAGCTTTCCTTGGGAACCTCATTTGCCAGTAAAAATATGATAATTGGTTCTTTACCCTTCTATCTGGCAACAAAACTGACACCTTTTTACAAGGAGTCATGTTTGCATAGACCGCAATACCTGCAGTCATAATACAAACAAAAGAACAAAAGCTGTCTCGGGTGTGGACCAATCAACTTCAAGGACAGTGCACATTATCAGAGTTATGTTCTTTTGTTTGTATTATGACTGCAGGTATTGCGGTCTATGCAAACATGACTCCTTGTAAAAAGGTGTCAGTTTTGTTGCCAGATAGAAGGGTAAAGAACCAATTATCACATGCAAGTGGTTAAATGATCATTAGAAAGGTGTACTATCATAATTTGGAATGTAATAAAACACCAATTTGTTAATTAAAATGTAATTATATGATCATAATAAACACATACAATTGTGTGCATTGGAATGTAACATTTGCATTGTGTGCACATTGAATGCCAATTATATGTCACTGTAAAATTTAGGCTAATGAAACAAATAATACATACAAACAATAAACTTTATTAATAAGATGGTAAAAATGTGGCAAAAATATATATTTTAAACATGCACATCTATTGTGGTGGATGTAGCACTTCCTGAGGCTGTAGGGATTATGAAAATCATTAGATACAACAGATACGAATTGAAAATCATGCGTTCGATGTCTCCGAAATTAAAGAAAACATTTTAAATGTACCATCAACGCATGATTACATGCCTAATAATAATTAGCATAATACTATTAATACTTTCTTTATGAGCCACTATCTTGGCTGTATAATACCAACGCTGAGCTGTTTGCTGTGCCAAACATATCATGTATCCATTTAACAGAATAAACTGATGGAGGAACTGTCACCCATGTTCAATTATAGCACCTGAATCGTGAGAACACAAGCCACTCCTGGGATTAAAACATTCCAAATGGTCCAAAGTCGACCACCAGATCAGTACAGACCCAACCATGAGTAATATATAAATGCAATTTCAACGGTAATGTAGCCATTCGTACATTAAAACTATATATATTAAGCTTAATTTGAGGTATAGTCAAAGCAGCACACATTTATATGCACACGCACCTGTTGGAAAGCATTCCTCTAATGTTATACCACATTCAGTGGTGACAACATGAAAAAAGAAATAATGCAAGGCTTTACTGAAATTGGCCATGCTGTTGGAGAGGTTTGCGGATGGGTCAAGCACTCAACGTGAAACTGTTATTTTGGGACCACTTGAGGCATAACAAACAGCATTTCCAAACAGAATTACTTGTTTGAAGTACATTTTAAATATTGTAAATGGAGGCCCTTCAAGCGCCTCCAATCAATTTCAACACTGGCTTCCCACCACTATTTCCTTCAAATTGCATTACATTAACCTTAGCTGCAGCCTGAATCTTTGCTTTTTCCTCTTTAGCCTGGTAGGTTAATCGTTTTTTTTCTCAGACCCGTGTGTGTAGTGTGTTGACGTACATTTATTTGTAGAATAGCTAAAATTACTATTTATTCAGACGGCCGATATTCCTATTCACAAATGCTTCATCAAGGAAATGCACATTCATGTGTGGACTCCACAAATAGGTTTTTTTTTGGGATCATATTTGAATGTTACAATTTTTTACAAAAAATACGAAAATAAATATTGACAGCATGTCTGTTATTCATCCACTGCTGGATGAGGTGCCAAAAAGCCTTGTAGGCCATTCGGCCATGATAGATATATGATGAACTACACTTAACCACGCAGGTCAGTGTGAGCAGTGAATGTGGGGTGAATGTAGAAAAATAGATTTTCTGCACTGCCCCCTATCGCCCAAAATGCCTATTGCACCTGGTTTAAGGGCATAATGATCACCCATCCGGACATTAATTCAGGCTCAACATCTGCTTCTTTTCGATGTAAAGCCTTCGTGACTGCAGGGATTCATCTTCTTGGTTCTCTGTCTCCTCAACAGACCTGTTCTTCACCTGAGGGCGGATACTTGCGTTGCGGCCGAAACGTCGTGAGAATTATGTTATTATGTTTTATTTTCATTATTTTATTATTTCCATTCTACGTGACTTTACCGAAAGAACCAAGAAGACATCTGCTTCTTGTCTGAGACCGGAGGAGATCGGTTTGGTAAAAAAAAAATCTAAATTGCTTTATCCGTGTACAGATATCAAAATATACAAAAGATAATACAATGCATTTGTACGAGCAATGAAATATGTTTTTACAGGTACACTCAAAAACATCAAATGCCAAATACAAAAGGAAGCTGGGAAGACCAGTTTAAAGTGAAAAGTTACGTAATTATTTATCTATCTAATACATAAAGTTCAACCAAATGTAGCAAATCAGAAATTATGCTTTAGATCCATTAATTGGAAGAAGAATCTCATTAATAGCTTTTATGAGAAATATGCAATACAAAAACATTCTTTGAAATTTTCAATTAAACATAACTGTTTAGTTTTCATAATGTGTGGCTATTACGATAACGTTCCACCTTGTATTTGACTAAAAAGAAAATAATTGGCTTTTCAAGAATGTCCTTTAATTTACATGTCTCATTCACGTGTATTGCTGCATTTATACTACAATACAACTACAGCGCTTCTATGGCAGTGCTTGCTTTTAGTAAAACCTTTTACTAAAAATAAGACTTCAAATATACCAAGGCAATCCAAGTTAGGTAAAAATATAAATGTACAAATATTGAAATCATATTAAAAAGAAAAAAAACATGCACGGTTATACATTAATTGAATAATATTACTCGGTACACGTGTACTTTTCTGTAATTTGATTAGTATTACATATTAACTATAGGAGCCAAACAGCTATGCCTTATTAAAAACTAAAAATGTATATGACAAATAAATATTATATATGAAATGCCTGGTATGGTTTTCTATATAAAACACAGATTTATTACATCTTATTCTAATAAAAAAGCCTCAAAACCTGCTTCATGCAATATAAATGTTTCAGGAAACATCTGCATAAAATATTCCTTTCCTTCAAGCTGCAATTAATTTATTTTTAAACATTCATGAACATTAAGAAATAAATGTCCTGCGCGGCGAGCAGCAAGAACACGATGGGTTCATGCATAATGGAAAACCCTGTGATTTAGCTACCAACAAACGCTGCCCGCAATTTCTGCCGATGCATTGCTATGGGGGTCAATTGTCGCGCGAGAGTGGGATAAATAAAAACCTCGCCGTTTAGAAGGTGACAATTAGCCTGCATCCAGCGCACAACCTCTGTGAGCCCTTTGTGTCTAGAGCCGCCCGTTTCTGCGTGTTTTACGCGCACCGACAGGCCGCGGCATATGGATTACAGCGCCGAGATGGCTTCCGAACGACATTCATCTTCCTTGCCATCTGCTCCCAACGACACCTCTAATTATTCCAGCGCAATCATCCTGCCACAGAGCCTCATGCAAATTACTGCTGGCGCGGTCCACAGCGACTGTGCCAACGCATGCAAATTACCGTGAATTAAAACATTACACAGCCATCAATTAACATGGCTCTTCCCCCGGTTTTGCGAAGCCCCGAAAAGGATTTGTTTTTCAAGTGCAAAAATGTACGATCCTTTTCTTCCCTGCTTTCCAGTTTGTGTTTGTTTGCATGCACTCTACGTGATGTCCTACGGACTTCCCGTGCTATATTCTCTAATATAAAGTGTCCGAAAAGCATCTGCACAGAGAATGAATGACGGCTCCGCAAGATAATATCTCTAGCGGCATTAAATTTTTATGCCAGCAAGGACAAAAAGGCCTTCAAATCGGTCACCCACAATGTCTTGTAGACGCCGTTCACCATCGATTAAGGAGAGATTGATGAGTCTAAAGAAAACCGTTTCCAGAAAAAGGAATAAAGATGGATTCTGGAGAAGAAAGACTCTCCGCCGCCAGTAAATTACGTGTCTAACAATGTTTGATGACGCACATTTCCTGGTGCCCTGGCCACAAATGAAAGCCCATCCTCAGCACACTTCTATTTGAGGCACAAGGAAGGGCAACAACACACAAGCAGCAAGGGCTTGTGGAGAGAAAGCAGATAAGAGGCAGATCGATACTCTAATTCTGCAGTGCACCCTCTGAGTTCCCTCTCAGTTCAGTCATGATTCAGGTCCAGCTTTTCAATAACTTGTGGCCCACAATGACACCTGCATTTTGCAAAAAAATGTTTCAAGCAGATATCATTGGTTGCATATGCCTACTTGTACAATTTAATCGAATATAGTAATGCTTTTGTTTTAGATGCATACAAGCAAATAGCGTTTCAGTATTGTTTTCAATCCTTATAAAAAGGAACTTGTTGTCTTAATGGAATTTTATTTTGAAACAAAGGATAAGAGTGACTGAATGAACTGCTTTTCAGTATTCATATGAAAAAATATTGTTTTTTAATGCAATGTCTTCCAAGTAAAAATAATTGTGAATGCAAGCTGTCCCAAAGCCAGTCACGTCAAGACCTATCACACTTATGTTAAGATTCAATTCCACAATGATTCGATAAATTTTCAAAACATCAAAGTATATACTGTGTAAATAGAACATTTTAAATACTGTTTGTATTTGTTTTATGTTGTTTACTCAATTGTAAAGTTTTGTTCGCTCCATTAGCCTAAAGGTAACATTTGCCT